TGAACGAATCAACTGCTCCGATTTCGGCTTGCAAAAAAAAAAAAAGATATATATAGAGAGAGAAAGGAAGAAAAAAGTGGGTGTCCAACGAAACAAAGTTACCGGATTTTCAGCCCGCAACTGTCCGTTGCCTCCAATGTAGTCACAAAAGTAATCGCAAATAAAATTAGAACCACCGTAAAATGCAATCAACCAAATGAACAAGAAGTATGTGACAGGCTGAGTTCCCCCCGCCGCGGTGGTCTAGTAGCTAAGGTACTCGGCTGTTGACCCGCAGGCCGCGGGCTCGAATCCCGGCTGCGGCGGCTGCATTCCCGATGGAGGCGTAAATGTTGTAGGCCCGTGTGCTCAGTCTTGGGTGCACTGTAAAGAACCCCAGGTGGTCGAAATTTCCGGAGCCCTCCACTACAGCGTCTCTCATAATCATATGGTGGTTTTGGGACGTTAAACCCCACATGTCACTCAATCAACAGGCTGAGTTCGCTCTGTAAGTCAGGTGGTAGAATGGTGACCAATGTCCATATATAGTTGTAGCGAGAGGCAGCAGACAGAAATGTGAAGGTGTGATATCGCCACTTTTTCAGGGCCGAAGCAGAGCAGCGGCGGCGGTTGCAGGCGTCCAAACTGACAGGAGCGTTGGCACGTTCTGCTCTGGCTCGTACCTAGAGATTTCCGCATGAGCTTCGCGAGAAGAGCCGCAAGCTGGACAAAAAATGATGATGATGGTGAATGGATATGATTATGACGCTACATATAGCATTGAAAGATTGCCAGATATCATTAGACCCGGCGAAAATGTCAATTAGTCAATTAGGAATTACGTAATTAGCGTGTAGGTGAACCGTATAGTAATACACAGGAAGAAATATACAGCAGCTCTATCACATATATCATGGTTGTCTAGAACTCGAGCAATAATATTCCAATAAAGAAGGTTGCTTGTCAGGCAAGAAAAGTTACAACAGCTGCGTCTTAGCAATACTTACGGAAGTCGAGGTTTTGACAGAAGCCTGTTTTGTTGCGAACATTTGGCAAGCATTTTTTCACCATAAAAGAATTTTTTGCCGCTATTCCTCAAGATGATAGTTTACAACAGCTGCATCTTACTGATATTTACGGAAGTTAATGTTTTGACGGAAGCCCGTCTGGTCAGATAGATGATAGAACTAAAAGAAGGGCACCTATCATGAAAATGAATACAAAAAAAGACGTTTCTATTGTGAACAAGGCTACCACGGGGGGTGGGGGGGACGTTTTTTTGTCGTATTCTTTTTCATGGCTGGTGTCCTCCTTCTAATTCTATCATACCGGTATACCTACGGGCCAGATCATCTATGTTTACTAAACGAGTTCAACGTAAATTGATCTAATGGTATAATAACCTTAAGGGACAACTAGCGAACAGTGCGAGTCAGGTAACAAGTGCTCGTGTATGGCATCTTAATTGAAATAAAAAAATAGTAGTCATGAGTAGACGATGTATAGTTAGAAGTCTATAGCCGTTGGAATTTAAGAGTAATAGATTAGATATACTAGAAGAAAGCTCGCCTATTGGGGGCGAGAGGTTATTTAGGCAGATGAGAATAATTAAGAAGTTTATCGGGATAACGTTGCCGCAGAAATCGCAGCACTAGGTTAATTGAAGAAGTATAAGAATTGCAGAGGCATTCGTCCTAGGGGGGAAGTGTCTATGTTTAAAAGAAGGAAAGGAAAACAAAAGTGAGCCCCGCAAGTGTCTGCATCAGGGTGCGACACCTCAGCAGTAGCTCACAAGGGATGGGAATGAGGAGGGATTAAAAGGATATAAATAAAGGTGTAGAGAGAGAGAAAGAGAGATGAGGTAAGCCAGAGAGAGCGACGACAAATCGAGGGGATAGGAGAGATAGGAAAGATGGAAACACGGTCACAGGAGTCCGAGAACGGGGCAACACTTGCGAGAGCTTTTGTCGACGTCAGGAGACGGCGTAGAAGTAAGTCCAGTCGGTCAGAGCTACACTGTCGTCGAAGGGCGGTGTCAGGACATGACGTAGGGCTAGCCCAGTCGGCCAGAGCTACGCTGACGCCGGAGATCGCGAGGGCACAACCGGTCGGCTCTGGAATCCAGCGAGAGAGTCCCGCATTCGCCCTGCAGTGGGCGTGGTCATGTTGCTGATGATGGTACTGGCTAACATCGGCAGTGCTACACAAACAGTTAACCGTAACAGCTCCTGCAATGACAGTGTCAGTTCGATGATAGAATAGAGAGATAAAAAGAACGATAAATACAACGTAGTTGACGAGTTTCATTTGTTTTTTTTACCCTACACTGGGGGAGTGGAAGCGTTCTGAAAAGGACACCCAGAACGAGAGGGAGTACAAATGTTGCGCGCTCTCATAAAAGCGTTCATTGTGCAGTACAAATGTGGTCACAGAGCCCAGTAAGCCGCGGAAAGTGCAGCACAGCTCATATGGGCCCTCAGCAGAGGTGGTGGTGCCCCGACGTGGTGGTCTAGTGGCTAAGGCACTCGGCTGCTGCCCCGCAGGTCGCGGGATCGAATCCCGGCTGCGGCGGCTGCATTTCCGATGGAGGCGGAAATGTTGTAGGCCCGTGTGCTCAGATTTGGGTGCACGTTAAAGAACGGTCTGAAGTCTCGGTCTGATTATCGATATTGCCGTAAATGAGCACTCCGTCATCCATTCCACTTAGAGAGGCACGTGATAGCCGTCTCTGATCTGTCAAACTGCTTTTCATCTAACGTTGTTGCGTTTCGTCAATTTCGTTTAAGGGCACGCCCAAATGTCCAACCGCCTTTCATCTGTAAGGGGGTTTATATTTCACGGTATCGCTGCAATCACGAGCGCTGCACGAGACACTTGCAATCGTTCGTGAATAGCTGCGCAATGCACACACGGACAAGAAATAAATGGACATCACCGGGGAGTGTCATGAAGCAGTGCGAACTTGCTTATGAAATCGCCCTTCCTGTTACTTTAAATCATGCCTTTATGGAAACAGTATAGCCTGTTTATAAAAGTGACGCCCAACCAAAATTGGCACGCTGCATCGCGTAAAGGTAGACCAGGTAAAGATCATGGAATAGCAGCAGCAGCTATCAAGCACCAAGGAAGTTCGTGGGGACATATTGAATGAAATTCAGTATCAGAATGCGCTGGAACGGATAACTACCGCCACATATATTAAAAAGGAGTAAATGCTGCCTTGACGGCTTCATTTATAAAACATGTCAAAAGTTTAAATTTTTTAATAAAAGTTTACACTGTAAATGCCTTGGTTTATGTATGATTTAAGTGATTTGTATGTATTATAAAAACATTTGTGAAATTTTGTTGTCTGTCATGAATTGATATGACCTATACATTGATATTACTTTCCAGTTGTGTGTATATTATTTGTATATTTTAATCATGCCAAGTTATTCAGTGCATAACTGTGCATGGTCTGATTGTAATCTTGTGTTTCACCCCTGCATGGGCCCGAGGAAGGCCTGCAGTATATGTCCCTAATGAAAAAAAAAAAGTTACCGCGCTGCTTCGGGCATACACAACTAGCATAGTCCAAAACTGCAAAACTGCAGACGAGCTACTTGTCGCATATCCAGCATCGTTATCGGAGAGAACGTAATATAGGACACGATTTGTGTGGTATAGGCTCTGAAGTTAAGGTAATAGAACGTGTATTTGATCATGGCGGTAGGTATGACCACTTCTGTTGGCGGCAACGTTACCATATTTACTCCATTGTAACGAGAGGGTTGACTTGAGGTAGCAAAACTCTTAAAAAAAAACGCTTGCGTTACGTTTGAGTAAATACGGTACTTAATTAAGTAGATTCAGAAGGCAGCGTTGTATTTATCAATGAAATACCTGCTATCTAAAGGGTACGGAGCAACTGAAACGTGTGGACGACTTGAGGCTCACCTGCGTTCAGGTTATGGGTTAGAATAAGTAGGAATTCAGAATACCGTTGTTATCTTATTTTCACTGTGCGAAAATGATGCAGCCGGAAGCTCATAGCTGAAGAAATCGGCAAAGTTTACTGTTAATTTCTTCTTCCCCTAAGCTGCTGAGCTGACGCTGCCGCAGTAAGTAGCCCGTTATTATTGTAAGGGATGAAAAATCTCCGTACGAGATCGAAACGCTACACAGTGAGAACTCTCGATTGCTCTTTGCTCATAAGAAACAGGGGAGAGAAGAAATACTGAGAAGTCGTCGTTTCAATGCAATTTAAAAGTCATATAAGCGTACTTGGCACAAGATAAGAAATAGAAAGGCTTGCTTTTGAATGCATGCATGGAGCAGATATCATCGTAGTGAAAATAAGGGCTACCTAGTCGGCACGATTCGTGCTCTCATTGCCGTAGTACACCCCCTTCAATGTAAGCTACGGCATAATCTGGTCACCCCTTTGACAACGTAAAACGTTTGGATCCCGTAGTGCCTAAACAGCGAAATAGGAAACGAAGAGAAGAGAGAGGTGCCGCCAGCTCGCGTGATAAGAAGGGTGCCGCCTCTTCTGCGTTTTACGTCACGAGTCTGACATGACCATTGCCTCCATGAGTCGCAACAGAAGTTAGCTACGCCTTGTGGCTGTCAGTTGTACAATCGCGCCGCCCTTTCGGTTTCTCCTCTTCCCAGGCTTGCACACGCGCCCACACTTTTCGCGCTGCTCACCCGTGGTTCCTAAGCCGCGGGTGGGCGATGCTGACAGCGCGCATGACAGGCGAGAATGGCTCCATAAAACACGGGCCGCGGCAGACGCCTCTGACGTCACCGGACTCCGTGACGTATGGGGCATGCCCTCTTTTTTTGGAACCCGTGTCTCTCCGAGCACGTATCGATAGTCAATTCTAGTTTTCCCTCGGCCGAGCGAGGAGATGACGCGAAGGGCCACACACGGGTGCGTTGCTGTCGGGGGCTGGGCCCTCGCACGTGACCGGTTCTTGATTAGGCGCTCCCCTCACGCACGCACCCATACGTACACGCACAGTACACACACTTCACGTTTCCCTCTCTCCCATCGCTTTGCGGCCCAGGTATTAACGGGCCCGCCGGCTTGCTGCGAACGCCATACGCCCGCTGCCAGTGGCACGCTCTTCTTGACACCGTTTTTGTTCTTTCTCCTCGCTAGGAAGGTCTTCGTCCTCCGTTCCTGACTCGTCACTGGAGGCGACGACACCGTAATCGTGTCAGGCTCATTCGGAGCCACTCCACGTTCTTCGCAGAGTACAAGTGACTTCGCCGCGGCCGACAGTTTTAAAAATTTGCCGGTCCTTTAAGTCTACCTGGGGTCTTCATCAGGACAAGATGCAGCGTATCACCTTAAAAAGAGCAGCGATCATCGCCGTCCTCGGCTCGTGTTTCGTCGTCCATTGTCTAGCCGGCCCTGCAAATAGGCAGCCCAACAACCTCGTTGACGGCGGTGCACCGGGTCCCGGCGACGTCGTACCCGAAGGCGTAGCGAAGGCCAGCAACGACTTCGGCATAGCCCTGTACCGGGCATACGCCAACGCCAGCGCGACGGGCAACCTCTTCTTCTCCCCGTGGAGTCTGAGTCGCGTGCTCGCCATGGTCCTGCTGGGGGCCCGCAACGAGACGGCAGCCGAGCTGTCCCGGGCCCTGGCCGTGGATCACTTTGAGGACCCGGCGGCGGCGTTCACGGCGCAGCGCAAGCTTGCCAAGCACCTGCTGACCAGCTCGAGTGAGCTAGCCTCGACCAGCATAGCGCTCACGCGGGCTGGAGACCCTGTGTCTCCGGAGTACCGGGCCAACCTGGACCAATACTTGGACGACGGCGGTGTCATGGAGGTGGACTTCTCTCGTTCGGAGGACCTGCTCAGCAAAGTCAACGGCGAAGTGTCTAGGCTCACAGGAGGTCGCATTAAAGACGCCTTACGAAGGTGAGCAGATAGACTGTCATTTAGAGAAACACGCTGTATTTATGATCATCGCACGTTACCTATTCGCTTACTCTGTTAAGGAGAAACTGAGAGGACAGAGGGTGACTGTTTTCTTAAACTGCATTTGATGCTAATGAAAAAAAGTGTAATGTGCAATGCCCCATGAGTGTGACCAATCTAGATACTGTCGTGGAGGCAAAATTGTTTTAGAACCGGGACCACTCAGGCCGAATGTATTTGCCTTGTGAAGCTGTTCTTGTCATAATTACAAAGAATAAGGATGTGAAAGATGTACTGTTTAAGAGTACCAACCATCGTGTCGGTGCAGATTTGAAAGCATTTTCGGTTTGAAATTATAACACCCTATTTCATGACGTCTTTTCATACATTGAACATGGCTAAAGTGCACTGCATGACGACGAGACGAAAGAAAAAAAAAAAGGGGGGGGGGGCAAACAAGTTCGAGGGCAGTTTGTCACGTGCACGTTTGTTTTTTTTTGCCTCCTTAATTACTTGTCTAGTCTTCATGCAGTTCACCTAAATTTTAAATGTACGAACGACCTCGACTTAGCACCCTACTTCGATTGTTTTTATTACACACACGTGTTTGAGGCAGACAGTTCAGAAAAGATAAATTTTGTGCGATGCTTCTGTAACAGAGACTAAACTAACTAAATCAGAGGCTAAAACAAAACTAAAAGCAAACGACCAAGTCAGAATCACTTTTGTTTTTTTCGGCACCTTCGCTGAAGCGAATCATATGAGTAAATACTTACGCTTCTCGTGGCGGGAAATCCGACCAACAGGGGGGTGTTCTGCATGAGGAAAAGGGGGACGCGTGCTTGCAGAAAATGTGTGTGTACGCTCGCAGAGATTACTGGGAAATGGTTGTTCACAGTGGTCTGCTCGAAGAAAAACTGCGATTTTTATCGACGAGGTTCAGCAATATTCAGTCCTGCGTAACTGTGTCATTTAGGAGTATGTGGCGGCCCGTCCTCATCACGACGTCCTGAGCGTTCAACACTCGGGGGAATGCAGCATTTATCGCTTGCGCAAGCCATCGACGATAGAGATCCGGCTTGGCAAAGGGGAAAAACCGAATGCACTGAGTTACGAGTGTCAAGGCACTCATTATGGCCGCAGTGGGCGTTGGGAAAAACGGCGTTCAAAGCGTTTTACGCTTGTGGGCGGGGTACACAAGTGTGGGACGAACACTTTCGAACTCGCAGTTTCTTCGGTTTGATAAATTATAGGCTTTAAACATCGTCTTTGTTGATCGTGTGTGATATGGCACGTTGTTCATTCATACAATAGGAAAAAGAGCATCAGTAATCTATGCGACAGAGTCGTCCGAAAAGAATGCGCGTGTTATCCGAGCATCCATGAAAAGTATATGCAAGTCATAATCACATATTTCTGAATGAAACATCGTAATATTCTGTTTCGGCTTTTCTGGATATCGCGCAATTTTAATGCGCAAGTTCTTCCTTGAAAATCTTGCAATGGTCACCGTATTGCTCGTTTAAATTATTTTGGGCCCTTCACTCATATTAATTCTTTTTTTGCACTAAACAGTTCCCATTACAACAGCTTTCCGCACATTTCGTGTATAATGAAATCCTTGTACGTTATCGAGAAACATTATTACGCGAAGAAATACGCGCCGACTGTGCACAGACACCCTGTTAGCTTGGTGTGTACCAAGTTCTCGTCATGACACGCGGAGATTTTGGATCTTATATCTACTACCAAAGGAACGTGTAGTGAGACAATAGGGAGCAGTTACTGATCACTACTCAAGTTTCTGATGAACGCGTCACACACATTGACATATACACGCTTTTTGAAATGGGATCCATTCCTTAAAACTTCCATATAGTTTACTCACTGTCAACCGGACATACCTGAGTTCTCATAGTGTACAACACTAGGCATTCACCGCATTTTTGTACTGTTTCAAATGCATGCATGCATGTGTTTTCAACTGAAGCACGACACACACTATTGCCTCGGCAAGAATATTGTGCCGGTGCTTTAAAAAGAGAAAGTCCCTAGAAAATAGACATAATTGTGCAATTGTTGTTCCAGCAACTCATTAAGGCCGGTTGTTTACTCTCCGGTGGAAAAACCGCGAATTGTGAAGATTACGTGCGAACGTAAGAATGTACATAGTGACACAATGAATCGAACCGCATCGATTATTTTAACCACATGCGAAGTGGCCCATTATTCTTTTGTAGGTGGGACATAAGATTGAACACAGTCCCACAGCCTGAAACACATGTCGAAAAATATATGTCAAAGGTTCGACCTCGATAGCGACGCCCATACGAGGGCGAATTTCGAAAGTGCTAAGTATACGTATATTTAAGTGCTTGTTTGCCCAGTGGGGAAAACAACCATCCCGAGTCTGTAGTTCGGCCGGAAATATAGCGGAGTCTTGATTTTTTGTTCGTAAAACCTTACTATTTTTTGGCTAAGTAATTTCTCGCTTACCGCGCAGGTCCCCTGACCCTCTGAGCAAACTGCTTCTGCTCAACGCGGTCCACTTCCGTGGCGTCTGGGAGAAAGCGTTCAACCCGAATGACTCCTTCGATGGCATCTTCCGCGGGGCCACGCGCAACACTCCCGTACGCATGATGAGCGGCAAAGGCAAGTTCCCGCTGGCGTACGAAGGCAACGCGTACGTCCTCGAGCTCCCCTACACGGGCGAGAGCAGCCTCGTGATCGCCCTGCCCAGACGCCGCAACCAGAAGGACCTCAGCGACATCGAGTCCCGGCTCGAGGACATCCTCGTGTCGGCCAGGCCCGAGCTGCGCTCCATCGAGGTCGAGTTGCCCAAGCTGACGGTGCGCAGCAGCCTGGACCTCAAGGAGCCCCTGAAGAAGTTGGGCGTCAACGCTCTCTTCTCCGAGCACCACGCCGACCTGAGTGGCATGCAGGCCGAAGGAGGCCTGTACGTCGAAGACGTGCACCACGGCGCGGCTCTCGAGCTCGACGAGAAGGGCACGGTGGCGAGCGCCTCGACGGTGGCCATCATCGTGAGCCGCATCGGCACGCCCCGCTTCTCGGCTGACCGGCCCTTCGTGTTCGCCATAAAGCACAGGCCGACAGGTCTCCTGCTGTTCGTCGGTCGCGTCACCGACCTCTGAGAAGACCCAAGGCTGGCTTCTTCGAAGTCCGGGAAATGTGTATAACGTTATGCACTGATGATAAGCAAAGTGTGCCCGTTTGTGACCCGTACTGGCACACTGACGGGGGACGTCACAGTGCTGCGCCAATAGAGTATCGCGCACTGTGTTGTAAGGACGTATACCTAGATGCTGCCTTTGTTGTACTTAGCCACCGATAAAATATTTTCGGTCTATACTGATCAAGGGTGACACATGTTCGATGGACAAATATTGAGACTTCTCAAGCGGAAGAAGCAAAGGCGAGAGCTCAGCTGAAATTTGTCGAGAGTTCATTTTGCGGGTAAGACGCCTCGTTACACTATACGGCACTGCCGGGCCTGGAAACAAACCAACCATTGGCTGCTTTGGTAGTCCACTTCAGGTTTTATTGTCGAACACAAAATTGTTAGTACCAATAGGGCTCTCTGCGTGTTAAGAGGTGTGTTGTAACGCTGCTAACAATGCGGGGGCGTCGACAAATACTCCAACGTTTAAAAAAATTGGATTCGCACTTACTTGAGCTTGTGAATAGTCTTAATAGGAAATAGAAAATATATTCTTGAATAAAAAAACTAAAAAAACCCGGCCACATTTGTCTGAAGATATTAATCACGACACATTACGGGCCAAGCAGATCTAGTGCTTGTGTATGCGTTAGCGGTTTTCGTTGGAAAGTTGTGCTTCAGATCAAAGCAGTTAGCCAGGCAGAACACTGAAAAAATCGGTTTGTAGTTGAGTTTATGAAGGTGCATGATTGATAGACAAGTAGCAAGCTGAAAAGAAGAAAACACGGTAACGAGGTATAGGAAAGGAGGCTGCAGAAAACAGAGGTGGCGTGAATCGAACTTGTTGTCCCATCAGTGTCTGAGGTGGGAACAGTGCTGGACACGCCTGCCAATAGAATTACTTTTTCTTTGTATAGTTTATGGTGCTATTACAAGAAGCGGCTGTGCCGCAATCGTGCTGTAAATATGCGTGTAATGTAATTACAATAGAACAACGGTCCATACATATTTAATGTGATGCAATATTTTGCAGCTAAATATGATACAGATGTAATTCGCATGGCTGCTCCCAGAGGGATGCTTTAGCAGCGATGCGTCACCCTACAGCAGCATCGCTGCTGTAGGGGGACGTGCCTTTCTGAAGAAATTGACCAGTGTTACACGGTCTATGCAGAAACTTGCTACTTTTTTCATCTGTGTGTAAAGACGAGTATTTTTACTTCGCGCACCCATGTACTTTGCCAAAGATCTTTATACGAGTATGTTTGCAATTATTACACAAGAAATTATCGTGAATCTGAAGATGAAAGTTGTCATGTCTACGTGTGATGAGTGTGTCTGCTGCGCATGTTGATGTTAAATGTATTTTTTCCCGCGTTTTTGCTTTTGAATATTGTGGTGACGTCTTGCGTGTAAACGTGTCGGTAAAAAAAAATTACTGCATTAAGTAGTTTAGTTTATTTTGGCGTCCTGTTAAACATAGCTCCACGCTTTATGGGCATATGTAGCCAATAGTTGTGCTCGTGCTGAGTATTCGTGAATAATATTACGCGAACAACACTGTCTATACCATTCGCGACCACTTCGACGAATCAAAGTGGACAAAAAAAATCAAATCAATAGTTTCCATATTCGTTTAATAACTTCAATCTAGCCATCACCATCGTCATGTTCCTTATGCACCGGACAGTTCAGATATTCTGTGGACTATAGCGTGCCTTTGTCTTGTTTGTGCTTGTTTCGTAATAAAAGATGTCGGAAAGTATTTCGCTGGGTTCCTCATAAAGCGTCAACAGCGAGTGCCTCGGAAATGTGTTTTCTCAGTGTTTGCATAATAAGGCCTTACCGTGGCTACATGTGTTGAGGAACTCGTCCTCCTTACGTCTTGTTTAAAACATCTCGGCACTCGTTTGAAAAACAAAAAAAGTTCGGTGACGTTCAGCATTGCCCCGCTTGAAATCGACGAGAGGTGACAATTGGGGACGCTGGACAAAATGCGCTATGCCGAAGCACTGCCAAAATACATAATTGTAAAAAGCAGTCCGCGATTCAACAGCTTTCCATGAGGATGTAATGCGTCAAGAGATTTTTCTTTGTATTTTTTCCCTACCGTTGGAAGCTTATGACAATGAATGCTACAAGTAAAGCACGCAGTAATAAAGTTGATGACCAACCTGTAAAACAGATCTCGTATTGAGCAACAGGTTACTTGAGAAAGTACGATTCAAAAGAAGAAAGTAAAAAGGACTCATTGACCTACTCATACAACAACTCACACAAAGAACCCATACAACATTTACAGGCATGGTCTTTATACATTTCGTGTACGTAACAAAACATGACCACTTCCAAAAGGGGTGTTAGAAAGGGGGGCGATGATCGTATAAAATGCTCAGTGGTAGGTTGAATTGATTGTTGAATTGTGGGGTTTAACGTCCCAAAACTACCATATGATTATGAGAGACGCCGTAGTGGAGGGTTTCGGAAATTTTGACCACATGGGATTCTTTAACGTACACCCAAATCTGAGCACACGGGCCTACAGCATTTCCGCCTGAATCGGAAATGCAGCCGCCGAAGTGGGGACTCGATCTCGCGACCTGTGGGTCAGCACAGTGATTGGTTTGCAGGTACTTTGCTGAACTTTGGCTCATTGTAACGCGAGAGCGTCAAAGAGCTCGCTAGGGTTGAGGCTTGGGGTTGGCTCATGAAAAAAAAGAAAAATATGCGCGAAATTCCATAGTACGAAGAAGGAGGCCCAACAACAGCACTGAGTTAAACTGGTTTGTAGGATCATTTGCGACCTATGCTAGTATAAGTGGTCTGTTTCGAGGGGTCTAAAAAAAGGTCGACCAACTCGGGCGATAGCGACTCTATGGAACTTCTACTGGTACGGATGAACACGAACTGACGTTACTTTAATGTGTCTATGCTGTACACCCAATAATCCTTTCCTCACTTATTTCCTAACTGCGGCCCATAGCCGTCTTCTTTTTCGAAATAACAGTTCTGTTCATTCATTCATTTTTGACATGTATGCACTTATATATCTTGACTGTCACGAAATAGAAAAAAAGTAACATAATTTAGTGCCCCTATCTCTCGTCGACATGCATAGCCGCTAAATGGTACCCCCCCACCCCCCCATTATGCTAGACACCTGCTGTAAGCCTTTTACGAAAAGGAATAGGTTCTTTGAACTGTGGCCCGTGGGTGATATGTATAGCACAGGAAGAAAAGTAAGGTGAATATCCGTAGACTTCCGGTTTATTCAACCCGTGTTACTCGTCGCAGCTGCTTTTACTTCTCAAAATTTAGCAGTCTATGACAGTTGGTGAAAGTAAAAGCGATTCAGGGCCTATGTATGTGTAATGTAGGGGGACGTGTATAAGCCTCGTCTTTGCGAACATGACATTAAATCACATCTAAGAGCCCGTGGCTCTGCATGTCACTTATCATAAGGCAGTATTAATGAATTGAAAACGAAGTCCACACCTCAATATAATATACGAACTATAAAACAACATTGTGCATACTGTACACACGTGTTGTCACTCATTTGCATATTCATGTGGGGAATGTACTGGGTATGCGCGGCTACCTGAATGGTCTCCCGGAGCTTCACCTACTCATAATCATCATCTTCGTGGATACGCTGCGATTTTTTTCCCGACCAACCACTTTGAATGTTGCATAGAACATGCACCTGTCATGACATGGCGTAGAAAAAAAAAACGATTTATTTTCATTAACTTCATATCGAAGAAACGTTTGGCAATATGGAATTTTTGTGAGAAGCGCTTTCGCTCCTTAGGCAGTCTAACAGTTTGTGAGAACTCATCACCAGCTCCACTGCCCCCCCCCCCCCCCCTTCCGTAAAAAATTGAGCTGTTTTTTTTTTTCAGTTCCACAAGATCTTCAAATTGGAACAGTACACCAGCACAGAAAAAAACAGACCGTTAAAAGATCGAATTTTCTCGTGAACCAGTCTTAGAGATCCTTTTATCTAAATAAAAAAAATGTGGCAGCAGTTCTTTCTACAAAGAGAAGCGTCTTCTCACCTAAGATTTCTTCTAAGGTTTCTTGAGAAACCAGTGACAAAGAGGGCTTCTTATGCGCCCGAAGAAACACCACCTTGCGTGAAAGGAAAAAAAGCCCTGTCTTGTTAACATGCGCTGCAGCCGACGAGGAAATCGAAGTGTACGAGGAAAAGAGCACTCTTTGAAACAGACGGGAATCAAAAAAGAAGTGTATTCAACAGTATAAATGGGAAGCCCGTTGACGTGTGGCTGCGTGTGAAGCGCCACGCTCTCGCTACTCGTAGAATTCTCGATGTGGTTGGCGCAAACCCGTGCCTTACTTGAGAATAATCCTTTCTTAGGCTTGAGCGTTCGTCGCTAATATGGATACCACAACGCTTGGCGATAGCACGCCGAGCGCTAACGACGTGTAGGAGACCCTACATGCATGTTTAATTCTCGAGGCTTTACGTGTAAAACGTACATACGACATCATCATGAAGTGCGCCATACTGGGAGGGTCTCTGAATTGATTTCGACCTACCGATGTTATTCAGTGTTCTCTTGCGAGGAGGACAGAGTCCTCCTAAACCAATGTTCACGGTTGATATTACATTTAGCCCTCATACAAAGGCGTCCTGAAGCATAAAAGCTTGACAGCACAGAAGCTCGACATGTCAGCGGTTTCGCTACACTGGATTAAAATACACAAAATGCTACAAAAGTGGTTTGCCGTGAGAGAGGATAATTGCTAGAGCCAAAAGGAAAACGAAAATGCAGGCACATGTGGGTGCTCTGAAGTCCACGTCACAGAAGAGCAACCAACCGACCCATTCGGATAGCACGCCACCAATTGGACGAACACAGCGAACAAGTTACAGGTGCCCGTATCGTGGTGTCAGGTGAGAAACATGCCGCAAGTGATGCATGGCTTGCACGGTTGGCATGACCAGAAGAATTGAACAAAAAAAAAAAGTGCTCCAACAACGTGAAAAATTGACTGATTGCAAACGAAAGCCATAATCACAGAACGACCGTAAGCAGCAGAACGACGAATTAGCAGTGGCAATTAGTCCTATTTGGAGTGTTTCATTTTTGGGTGCAGCACGAGATCGACGATGACGGAAGGCGCACAGACGTCTCAGTCTTCGTCGATATCATGCTGTAGCAAAAAATGCTACTGTACAAACTAACCAAACTTTCAATACTATTGCTCTTTGGAGTAGTTTACCAAAGCACGACAGCACGCACGCACTGTGCGCATGCTTCTCTTCTAGCCCAGGTGTGACCAAACATAAGATACCTTGAAGCACCTAAGTGGCTCATTTGAAGCTTTCATAAGGGAATGCCAGGTTTATAAGGAAAAAAAATCTATCAAGTACGAAAAACTATCCAAAAAGATCCGACTTGATCTGAGGGTAGCAAGAATAGCCAAAAGTATAAGCGTCTGATTAAAAGATGAGTCTTTTCTGTTTGGGTAACCAAATACAAAAGCCTTTCGACAAATACGTCACCAAATACAACATTAACCCTTCAACATAATAAATATTGTTATTCAAGCATAAATTTATGAATTCAGCAATAGTTTTGCTCACCATAACGAATTTTCTCGCGCTTTTGCAAAAACGACACTATTTTCACGTGTTTTGAATGAATTTTCTGGAAACAACTAGGAACAACAGCCTTTTGACAATAATAGAAGGAGCATGGCATCAGTGCGTATAAAATCCATTGAAGCATCAACTGTATTCATTTGCGTAATCGTTGCTTTCGTGGCAGAAATTACGGCAAATCCCACGCGCAGCGAAATCCATTTCATGCGAAGCAGTACGCGAGCGAGTATACTTTTGCTGCAGCCTCGAGGAATAAGGGAAGGGCATTGCGCCTTGGGCCAAACACACTATAGCTGATAAAGGTCTTTCTGCTTGTGGTAAAATTTCTGGATTGACCTGTTTGTGCAACTTGAGTAGCTGTCCCCATGTGGTTACGTTTACGACACTGGCGTAACGCCACCACTCGCTTTAGAGCGGAGGTGTCACTTTTGTCGAAACAAAGTGTAGACAGCCCTAATCGAAGCAGCTTTTAGAGCACACTGGTGCAGTTTACGCTTCGCCTCCCCCCTCCCCTTGTCTACATGGTTTGAGATAGAAAGAACAAAAGTGCATGATCATTCAAGCACAACTCCTGTAACCTTTTGCATCATCATCATCATCACCATCATCATCATCATCATCATCATCATCATAATCATCATCAGCCTGACTACGTCCACTGCAGGACAAAGGCATCTCCCATGTTCCGCCAGTTAACACGGTCCAGTGCTTGCTGCTGCCAATTTATACCCGCAAACTTCTTAATCTCATCTGCCCACCTAACCTTCTGTCTCCCCCTAACCCGCTTGCCTTCTCTTGGAATCTAGTTAGTTACCCTTAACGACCAGCGGTTATCCTGTCTACGCGCTACATGCCCGGCCCATGTCCATTTCTTCTTCTTTATTTCAGCTATGGTATCCTTAACCCCCGCTTGTCCCCTAATCCACTCTGCTCTCTTCTTGTCTCTTAAGGTTACCTTTTGTATAGCTTGAGACAATATTTATTTGCAAAATCAAGCAACACACACAGAAAAAAAAAGAAAAGAAAAAACGATAAGTATTAATGGACTTCCAGTTTACTCTACCCTTCCTACTCGCTATTGGTCTTTCTTCTCTTCATTATTCAGAAGTTTATATCAGTTGCGACAAGGAAAA